TAACTTAATGGCTTGTGGATTTGAGAGAATTAAAAAAAACTGGAGAAACTGATTTCTCAAAGCTCCAAGGACCATGTGTAGAAATTTCAGTGCTGTTCTTATCTGCAACGCGTCGACTTAGAGAGGCCAATTAGAAGAAGTTCGCCTTTTACTTGAGCTTGTTTCGACTAGGTAACACATGCTAAATATTAACAGCAAATTAGCTGTCAATCATGCCTTGCATTAAAAAGCAGTGAAAATTTCCGGGTTCATAATTTAGATGTTGAACTGCAAAGAAGGGAGCGAGATTTCTACGGCTTATGCAAAAAGTTTTATATATCATGGAAAGACATGTAATATCTGATGAAGGTTAAAGAATCAACCTTTACTTCAGAGACACTAGCTAGGATGTGGTCATCAAGAGCAGCTGTAAGTAATCGGGTAGTCTAAGCGGAAATACCACTTTCCACCATGAAGATTTGATATTTTTTAAAAACTACATCTGGAAGGGCCGATCAACCACTACAATGATGTGTTCTAGACAAAGAAAGGAAAGACTCGTGATTCTCGATAGCCACTTCTCACATCACTGTTCAGTTGAGTTAAGGACTGCTCAAATTTATTTATGTGGGAGATTAAGCATAATGGATATCTGGGCTGTACAAGGTGTTCGTATGGACAAATTCTGGCTGCAAAATTGTAGCGTCATTCGCTGGAATTGGCAGCCTCACACGCCCTGTCTACGTTCGGCCAAAAACGGGCATGAACCAGACAGAGGGATAGCGCGCCAAGAAAAAGCGGGACTAATAAGCCATTAAGTCAAAGAAACGCAAGGTATAGCGTGTTTGTGAACCACTAACTAAAGGCTCCTTTGCACTGATACAATGCATCTCATCATTCTAAAAATGACAGCCTTGAGGAACTGATCTGAGCAGAGCAAGCAAGATACACGCACACTAAAATTCTCTCTTAATTTCTACACGAGTTTTCTTTTGGCAATCTCGAGCTACAAGGACCTTAAAAGACAGTCAATGAGGCAAAAACACACTCACGCAAGAACCTCGGCTGAGAGGTTTGTGGTATATGGCAAGAAATTAAAGCGACTATACTTGTTGGATGAGTAAGTTTATCTCATGGTATCTTATTGAAGGTCACGTGACTGATTCAGTTAGTGTTTCATTTTCTTGACACCTAATTCATGAAGAAGGAAAATCCGTCTGCTAGATTATGGGAATCGGAAGGAGAGTCTTCTCGAAATTTAAGATAACAAAATGTAAATAATCTCCTTTAAGTGTATCCGAAAATCAGAAGTATCAGTTTGCATTTCAAGTTCCCCTTCAGCCTGTAGACACTTTCCTTTCTGGAGCGTTCGACCGACATATGTGCAAAGAAACATTGAAAGTCCATAAGTGCTGTCGGTCCGGAAACTTGAAATTACAAGTGCAATCATTGGGATCTCAACTGAGATTTACCTGCACTAACAGGATAGATAGATCACGTGCTTTTAAACTAAGATCTTTATTCTTATATTTGCAGGGAAACTGAAACAACATGTAGAGCGTCGACCTTCGAGTGAAGTATCAGCTCAGTAATGCATGAATGCATGCCCAGCAGACGGTATGTTCTGCTCTGCGGTGGGGGCTGGATACTTGAAATGACTGATACTGTGAAGATTTTATTTTATTTTGCCCTGAAACCAGTCATCTTTGAGTCAAACATTTTGCGGTGTCCACCTGATCAAAGAAGACCGTTCGTAAGGTGTTGACTTAAATGTCACGCTGTTTTTAAATTTTAGGGCACCTGTGCTGGAGAAACTGGTTGTTAAAACTTTAAACGCTCATCAGATGTTTAAAGCCGTAACTCTCACTAAATATTTGGATTTTAAAGTTTCTATCAAGGGTTTTACTAGAAGGCTTTTCGGGGTTATAAAATTCACGGTTGACATTACGAGCTTTGGAATTTCACTGAACGCCCCTACTAGTAACTGGTCATTACAGGGATTTTAAAACACGTTCAGTGTTCGCCCACAGTAGCTATCACTTGTTTATCATGTGTTAAGGTTTCCATCAGAATATTTATGAAAGAAATGTAACTTATCATTGGGGTTCATATTGTATTCAGTCAAGTATGCCGAACGTCAAACTATTCCACATCTGCGTAATGCTACGAAATAGCTTCCTTTTGGTTTTACAACCCAAGAAATATGTTACAAAACGTGTTTCTATTAAACATACGTATTTAAACATATTTTTAGCAAAGAGGTAGCCGACAAAAATAAGGATTTCAAAGTATGGGGTAAGAATTAATATATGCAAATAGTACTGGGAGCTCACACTGTCCGCTCTGTTAAGAGCTCTCGGTGAAATTCACAAAATGTTTGGAGTTGTATGTGGCAGATTGTCTAACAATCCTTTTGTTCCACACCCACTTCTTGTTGCGAACAAGTTTACATCTTTCAAAACCGCTATGTTGCCCACAGCAAAAGTCTACGCAGAGGAACATCGGTCTTGACGCAGTTGAGTGGGCCGTTGATTATTCTTCTCCAAAACGTTTTAAAGGTCAACAAGCAGGATGTCGACTGTTTTGAGGCATCTAACCATGACCTGTCGCGATGTTACTAATCATCTCGGTTCTTAGTTACCGCCGCAACTTGTCAGCAACAAATCACACCTACGCAAATTACGAAAACTTAAAAGAACAATGATGCCCACTTCGCTTTTTCGGTTTAAAGTATACACCAAATATATCGCAAGAGATACTGGAAATTATCAGGTGACCAACCCGACAAAAAGGCGACAATAGTGGTATTGACTTACTGACGTATGTGCAAAACAAGTCGGTGATATTGTTTGTATGAAACTATCGCGAGAAGATGCTCTTGAATTACCACAGTAAGTTTATGAGGCAATTAAACAAATTTAAAACCACAAAACAATTTTTGGTACAACAGATTTAAAGGTCTTAATGATGATTCGAAAACATTGCCAAATGACGTTTGTCTTTTTAAAAAGTGGTATCTCTTTGGATACACTTGAAAGAACTTGAGGCATTTTTGTAACTTTGGACTTATGTACCAGTCATCTGCGATTCTAAACCTCCTAAAATGAAAGTTTGATCGAAAAAAGGCTTTCTGAGATCATATGAGATGATAACTTGTTCAAGAAAGAAAATTAGGCTATGGCAAAGACCGTGGGAATCTGTCGTGTTTAAAACGGGAACCGCGAAATGCCCTTCAGCTAATCACCTGGATGTTAATAAAACATTGCCGAGCGAACTATCATTTAGCAGTCTCCCGATAAGGCAAGTATTCCATGAGGAGGACTTTAATAACAGACTATACTTTCTCACTGAAAAACGTTTTGCTTTTGTCAAACAGGCCTGGCCCATGTTTTTTTCAGTGTTTTTTTTTTCTTTAGAACGCATACCAACACACAAGCGTATGACTTGGTGAGCATTTCTGACACAGTCTACGACTTCATCTTCAAAACAGTTGACCCGCGCTTAAAACAAAATTCCATTCCTTTCAGTGATTTGCACCGTGTATGGCGTTGAAAATCGTTAGACTCACGACCTTCGGCAGGCATGCAGGCTGCCCGAAATTTTATGATGCGTTGTCTAATTGATCGCAATATCAAATGAGCGAGTAAATTGGTAGGGGTTCTAATTTATAACTTTCCGCATAGAAGGATATTTTTGAAGATGTTTGTAATGTTTGTATTTTTGGAAATTCGATCGGTTTGGTATCGTATTCTGGGCCAAAGTGCGGCTGAAGATACGTAAGCGCTGTCGCACACACACACCAATGAAGTCTAAATTATGACGTTTTACAGCTTCCTTTTCGAAACGACGTGAGATAGAGGAAATTGTAAGAAAAATTAAGTGCTTGGAAGCTGTATGGTCATCTTGATGTTGAATGAACCAAGGCAAATTAAGCTAAGTAAGTGCTAGACAAATAAAACAAGAATTTTTGTGCGTTGCTGTTCCTGAGACCGAAATGTTTCGTTCTATACGACACCATACCACTAGTGGCGGGAGTTTTACTGTCGCCCACACACTGGCATATATGACGTCATTCATGACGACAAGAAACCGTTCTACAACGTCTCAACAAGATTTCGTCTGTAAACCAAATAACTGAAAAATATTAGGAAGTTAACAAAACCGCTGAAGCTCTTTTCCACGAAAATGCGTTTGAAAAAAAATCGTGCACAATAATTTACGCTCGTTTGAAGTACGATCGTTATCAAATTCCACCAAATGAAGTGAAGCGTTACATTAGACCGCTAAGGCATTTAACTAACGGCATGTTCTGCCAATCTCAATAAAAGACAAGGATTGGGAGACCTATTTTTTTCTTGTCTTGTGAACATTCTGGTGAACAAAACGTGGCAGATAAAACGCGAAAATAAAACTTTTCGCAGAATCACATTAAATGCAGAAAAGTGTGCATTGTGTAATATTTCAGGGGATTTAAATTTTTGCCTAACTAATGCAGGCTTGAGCGAGCTGTCTTCACAAATACTTAAGATCCGATTAAGCAGCAGCGCGCGTGCAAAAGTGAAATGTTAATGCTTAATACATTTGACAGAAGTCATACTTTCGATCAAGATCCCAACGCATTAGAACACAGATTTGTAGAGGGTACGACAATATTGTCCTATCTGGCGTGACAAGATGTCAATTTACATGAGAGGCATCGCACGTACGCCACAGAAACAGAGTCCTATCCTAATTTGAACTATAGTCTTGCCCTATAAAGAAATCCTATGGTGCAATATTATTTCAGAATAAGAAATCACTTTAGCAAAGAGACATAACATCTTTCTAACTGCGGTAACACATCCACTGGAACGAAGGTGTACATTTGTGAGAAGGCTTTTCGCCCCGTTCTTTCTGACGTCAGAGCCTATTGTGTCGAATAGAACCACCGGATGTCATAACAACCATTGGCCTGTCATTCAAATCATATTTTAATCACAAATGAATGAACTGTTTTTAAAAGAGGATATCAAATGGGCTTAATTACAACGTGCTTGCACTGGGCAAGACATCACACGGTTTAACTCCACGAGAAAGTGAATTGCGGCGCCCGGCGTTTGGAAACTACGAAAACCAGGCTTTCAACGGTAACCACTCCAGCAGAAATATTCACATTCACAAAGCTAGAAAGCTCCAAAACGCAAGTATTTAAGAACTCAGACCTCACAAGGCGAAGAACACTCCAAGTCTCATCGTTAAAGAACGATAGCAATCCACACGGTAAGTGTCATGCGCACAACAATCTCGAGATGTGGTACAAAGGAAAATTGGATTAGGATAAAAAGTGATTTGCGTGCTTTCTTTGTGGAGTTTTATCACAGAGGAGAAAAAAATTTATCGCTGTGCTGTTTTAGACGTCTTTAGAAAAAAACAAAAAATCTTTAGCTGGTGCCCGTGAGACAAGAATGAGTGGGCCGCGATTGACGTTTTTTTAAACATGTATGGTTATTAACAAGGTAACTAAGACAAACTGGGACATTGTTTTGTTTTTCTTCAAAAAAAAAAGAGCGAGCGTGCTACCACTTGGTGTTGATCAAGAAAATGCTCATGGAAATTACCATTTGTGGAAGTGAAATTTTTTTTCGTATTGTGCTGGAGATCGTTGGTGTCTTAATTAGGTCGCCAGAACTCTGGAGGGTGTCTTCTTTGTGTTCATCACGCGTGACCAGAACTAATCGTGCGCGGGCACTCCGCGCGAGCACCGCGCGCCTTTATAATTAGCATTTGTTAGCCTCGTGAATGAATTTGCAATTAAAAACTGGTACAGTGGTAACTGTTGTCACACGTTACCAGCCAATTCACATTATTGTTTAGACGCGTTGCTATCTTTTCATTGTAAGAAATACGGATTTTCCAGAGTAAGCAAATTGTGTACATATTCCCTAACGGTTCACTTTATCATAAGAATTACTTTTAAGGTATTACCGGCCGGATACGGCTCTTTCATTAATATAACACTCCTAGCTCCAGTACAACGTCCGCAGTATGGCTTTATTTACATGGCTTCTTGGCCTAAATAACCTTAGATAACCTGTAGCAGGATGGGCCTATAAAAGTTCCTAGTTTTCTTAGAAAGGCTTTCGCCAGAAACGCTTCCGGTAGAAGTCACGTCTCACAACTTTCGTTTTTCCTGGAGACTGAAGCGAATGTTGTTAAAGCCGGCAAAGAAACTATATAAATAGTCTCAGCATGTTCTAATATTCAGTTTTAATATTCAGTTTTAAAAACTGCCACCTACTTATTTCTACTATCTAATAAACCTAATATACAGGCTTTGGGTGAGTCACACGAAATCGGCGCACCAGTAACGCAATGAACGACTAGAGCACCCAGTTCCGCTAGTTTACGGAATGAGCAGATCTGAACAGTTTTGAGTCTAACATAAACTTTTCGCTTTCTTTTTATTGTAGAAAATGGTACAAGGTAATAACGCTCCTTCCAGTCCGGTAGACGTGGCTTTTGAGGAACTCTTTGAAGGTAAGATAAAATAATTCGCCAAACTGAGCAGCTGTTTGCCGGTGCATAAAATTATGCGAGCTTACCAGCATGAATTATCATACTCAGGTATATTTTTGTGCTACGTGGGCTAGAATAATTCGAAGACCTGTCACGCGACATGAGCCGATCGCTTTTGTCACTAGATTATGATTATTTCAATTGTGCGGTCATGCTAACGAATGGAACAACTCATCAAGTAAAACTTCACGATGATGATTTTACAACCTTTAGGAAGCAATCTTTCTGTTACGGTCCTATCGAAAAATGTGCTGAAACATAACTCTAACGCCGTTTGTATTGGCTTGAGTAAATTTATAAATAGATCTAAGTCATCCTGTTTACGTCAATGGTCACACACCTCGCTTTGTGATTGGTTAAACCTGGAACGCACGTGAGGAGGAGTGCGTCATGAAGAAGGCGAATAACGTAATTTGTAGTACTTAGAAACCCTAAAAGGATGTGGAAAAAGCCGATCATTACACTCGATCGGTCATTCTTAACGCATCCAGCGAGCGGTGAGATTCTTAACCTCACGCAATTTTGAAAAACAACAACATCTTTGCGGTTCAGCCCACGGGTAGGTGTCACGAGTAGGCATGCAATTTAATCAGGTGTAGTAATTGACAAGGCGAATTTCGTTTATGGCATTATTTTCGCGAGAGCTGCTATTTCATGGATTTTTTTGTTGAAGAACACCGACTGTGTAGCTTGATCCTCGTGGTTTATACACAGTACGTCAGACTTAATCAAGCTTCCACGCCTACACATGGAACCAGCCATTCACAGGCCTCGCTTGATATTGAAGATTGACAGTTGAACAAGTACAAGTGTTTCTCTAACGATTCTCTCTTTTCATTCTTTCTACAGTCATTCCAGAGTTAAAGATGTTCACCCCAGCGCAAGTCGTACCAGGTATTTTGTTTCTTCTCGGTTGTTTGATAACGTTTTCAAAGCATAGTTCAGCCTACTTCTTGGTTTGCACTAATCATTTAGTTTTAACCATTCCACACGCGTGGGAGGTCATACAAAGATAGCTAGTCCTGTGTTGTTAACGGCGCGCGAAAATTTCACAAGTCCCCGTTTTTTGTTTTAATTCTTAATTTTCTCGGGGTTACCATTGAATTAAAAACAATTCAAAGCTCCGATTCTAGCCCAAGCTAACAATGAAATAATATCTGAAATACAGAAATATCGACGTGCTTTGAATATTAAACCACTTGGCCAAAACAGCGGAAGTTCAACGCGGCTGATCGAGTCGAGCGAACCGTGTTAGCCACGCAAACGTCGACGGTAAACTCACCAACGGAATAAATTCTAAAATAATTATCAAGGACCAGACAATATTTCAGGCAATGCTATATAATTCTTCTGAAAATAAGATGACGAGGGAAAGACCAGTAAGAAAGAGTTCTACACGTAATGTACTTAGATCGTTGCTATGTCGTTCCGAAAGAAAAAGCCACGTTAGCAAATTGATTCGGGAAATTGCGGTCTGTAAATTCAACGTTAGATATTTTTTATCCCGTTTCCTCAGAAAAGTTATGGTTAGCCTACGAGACGATCGCGCTTATAACAGTTATTTCTAGAGTTTTTCCTTAAAGATATCCTTTCACTTTCCATCCACTGAGATTAAGTTCTCTCTTTTTTATTTCAGGCGCTGATAACGCCGAGCAAGATGGGCTTATGACTGGGTCTCTGGGCCTTGAAGAAGGTAATAATTTACATATTGCCATAGAAAGTCAAACACCTGTAACTAAAAAATGTGGAAAAAGACAAATTTTGACCTCGATAATAATTACTTGCGTCTCCGAAACCAAGCAACATGAATAAATCGAGGCAAAGTGCCAAGAACATAGAAAAAGACAAATTAATGATAAGTGTTCAGACAACAAAGAGAACCAGTTGAGTTTTATGTTGGTTTATGTCTCTAACTCTAGCCTTGTTCGTTATTCTTCCAGCTCGGATGTACAAGAGTGAGCCAGATCTGCGAATCAAGAGCGAGCCATCAGCCTTTAGCGAGGTAACTAACTACTGGCTCCAATGCAGCATGTCGCTGGGCGACACGCAGTACCAGACAAACACGCGTGATCCTTTCCTATGCGCACGTGATACCTTCGCCAGCTTTCAAGAGCAGATGGAAAATTTGGAATGGCGGCCGCCGGTACTTCAAGCTATGGCTCTGTGCAAACCAGAACCTGCGTCTGAAGTAGACGAGATGTTGCTAAGTCAGACACAGAACGTTTGCCAGCTTGGAGCACGAAAAGAAACATCTGAAAGCCAATGCAAGGTATTCATGCCTTCGTACTGGGACCAACAGCTTGTGAATGACTGCGAGCCATGGTACGAGAATCCTCGCGGGAAAGCTTTCGTCAGTGGACTTAGGAACGGCATATTTATGAACGAAAACGCAAAGAGCTTTTGCAAAGAAGATGATCCCACGAAAGAAGAAACTGACATGGCGCACATGCTGGACCGAGACTCCGACAGTCCCGCGAGTTTCACGAGTGTGGACAGTCCTCCAGAGTTCCCGTGGAACCCACGAACCATCCCCAGTTCCAGAACGAGTGATGTAGGGGCATTTAGTTCAACAGAGCAGAAGTTCGTGATGCACAAAAATCACAAAACAACCTTCAAGTCCGGTCGCCCTCGCCTGTGTCAGTTCTTGCTCGAGCTCCTCAACAACCCAGACAAATATGGCTACATGATCGACTGGATAGACAAAGAGAAAGGTGTGTTCAAGTTCATCAACTCCAGCGAGGTAGCGCGCCTGTGGGGACGTCGCCGAAATAAGCCCTCCATGAAGTACGAGAACTTTGCTCGCTCTTTGCGCACCTATATTGCTAAAGGAATACTTGCAAAGCCTCGCAGCAAACTGGTCTACCAGTTCGCCAGAGTGAAGAGTTGAAGCTCTTTGAAAAAAACAACAATCACATTACCACCATGCCCGACACCAACATCCAATTGAGAAAGAACACTAGAATTGCCTTAAAAGTTAAGACCAGAAGGAAAAAAATCCTAAATGTTGCTTAAGGCGCTGCAGTGTTCGGAATGAGTTCGCCACGAGGCGACAAAAGAAAGACGCCGAAGAACGAGACATTAAGTTATAAGGACTCGACCTTTTGGTCGCAATAGACTGAGTTTATACCACGAAGAAAAAAATATCAAATTAGATATTAAATACGATATCCAATCGAATAAGGCGCAGTTGAACCTTCTGAACAACGTAGAATTTGAAGCAAGAATGAACTAAAAAGACATTTTTTTATTATAACAAAGTTAAATTCCAAGTGAAAGTATAATTAGACTTTCCCTTTCCTCTGTCCTTTTACTTTACTACCAAAGCGTTTCATTCCGAAGCCAAAAGGAGTTCTTTTATCATATCGAGTTTTAAATGACCTTGCAAAAAAGTTAGATGATGCGATTCTTCATTCCCTCCCCACGAAAAAAATAACTTTTCTTTCTTAGTCATGATCACCCCCGAGTCTTAAAACACATGAGAAAAAAGAGAGTATGCCCTGAAGCATTTCTTCTCCATACAGTGCTTGCCTAATAGAGACATGTCAAGCGAATGGTATTTACTATGTAAAGATAAAGACCACATAACTTTTATCGTGATTCTGACTGTGTCAGACGTCGCTGGGTGATTGAATTTTTAAAAGCATGATTTCCAAAAAAAAAAAAGCAGAATATTTCTTATTGTTCGTAAATCTTTTTGTACCATAGTAATTTCTTGAAGGGTGTGTGATTTTCAAGATGCAAAAAGTTTAAATCATAATTATAACCAAGGACCGAACAATTTGCGCCAAAATATATTGACAAGCATAGTTTATATAAGGTTTTATAGAGTAATATTCGTATTTCATAAAATTTAAGGTTAAACTTTATTTGTAGAAAACATGGAAATTATGCCCAATAAAAAAAGTGGTGAAGAAAATTCTGTAATGTGCATATGTGTTTTAGCCTTGTCGCTACGCGAATAGCAACTTATAAATAATATTTTTATAGCTAGCCGCTTATCGAGAGGAAGAAATAATACAGTGTAGCATCCTTTTACATGAACCTCTTCGAATTCTTCACCCCAAATGCCAATAAACTAGAGCAAATCCAAAAAAGATTTCTTGAAACAAAATCTGTTCGGAAAAGAACATATTATCAACGTCCAACAGCCCAAATGTATAGTTCTATATATGTACTGAACCATTCTCTACCCTAGGAACAAGCTCAGGGCGGTTATTTCTCTCAGTTCAGTGGTAGAGAAACTCTGAGAAGCTTCAAGAGTTCTAAGAAAGATAGCGGTGAATTCTTAGAAGTGCAGCTGATAATTTTACTTATGTTCACTGGACTTGCTTCTGAAGTGACACATTTCTTCGTACCTATAATGAACTTCTGATAAGCTGATCAAGGGTATACCGTTACAAAGAAAACTTTCAGTTTCTGAACGAAAAATTTAAATAGAGTATTTACGAGTCGTTTATGCCATCAAAATGTGTCGACGACAGACAAGCGAGCCCCATGACTCAAAGATGTCAACAATAGAAATCAATCCACGCAGACCTTAAGGGTGCTACAGTGTACTGTTCGCTAACTTTTCGCGCCTTACAAAGGAATCCTTGGGAATAAAGGAAAGCGTAAGGGATAATAATAATCCTAAAAACAGAACGAGGATAATTAAAGATGGAGAAGATAAATACCGATTGCAAACGACAGACTTAAAAATTTCCTTTTGACTTTAAAAGATACACCAGCCGTTATTTGGCCGCTTTGAGTTCAAGAACTTCCCTTCAAGTAAATCAACCTTCTCGTCTTCAGCTGTACTTGCCGCCAACTCCATAAACATAAAAAACCCACTGAAACAGCCTTTAGTGTTGTGTTTCTGTTTCCAAATGCGTGGGAACCCAAAACATTGCGGTTAACAGTTCTTCCGAAAAAAGCGTCGATTACTGCCCAGATGCTAGTTCGTTTCATCGAAACTGTAGATTACCTACAGGGCGCAACAACTTTTCCATAGATTCGACGGTTATAGTCCAAAATGAGCCTATTCATAGTTATAATGAAACATTTCCAATATTCTACAACTACAAAGGAAAAACTTCTCGCAACTCGTCTCTCGTGTCGCGTCCGCACACGCGATAAAAGCGTGCTTTACGTGGACGACACGCAACACCGGAAGACTTAAGCTAACCGGTGCCGCCCACTATATTCAGGTGCAGTTCATTTTCGATTGCTTTAAAAAACAATAGGAGCCTCTTGAATTTAAGCATTTTCAATAATATCGCGGCGATGTAAGACCATTTCGTATTTCCTGTTTCCCTTGATAGTCCGGATGTGACGTCAATGGTGGATCCGGTGCTTTTTCTGTGTGCTCAGTGAACCAACAGAGGAAGTAAATGCTTCGAACGCCTTTCAAATACAAGTTTAGTCCTGCGTATTTGAAAATATTGACCTGTCACAGCGTTTTCGATAGAAAATATCCAATTGACATTAAAAATATGGTCTGTCTAAACCCGCTGAAGATGTTTAGTTGACCTCGAAGGGGCCCATGGACAACACAGACGTAAATAAGATACAAACATACAAAGGTTATTGCTCATGATACTACAATAAAACTACTTTAAATGTGGCACTTAGTGTTTGCCTTCATTTGGTTAATTATTAGAGTATTCCGTAAAAAATTCTGCTGTGTGTCACGATCAAAACATCGATAAAGTAAATATTTTAATATTCCGGACTACGACGCAAGAATCTGCGAGAATGCAAATTTGGAGTAAGAGAAAACGAAACTTTATAATAGAAGCCCACTAGCCAAGACACTATAAGCCCCAATTAGCATAAAAACCAAGACATCCCTCAGTATTTTGTTGTAAAAGAAATACGAAATTTTTATTAACAAGTACATAAAAAGGTCAATATAGTGTGCATTGTAAAAATTGTCTTTAGGTAACAAATAGCAATACGGCCAAAAAACGTTAAACACTAAATATCGTATAAACAACTTGCGGTCAATTATTCAACTGTCGTCGAATGGGGAAGGTATTACAGACGTCGCTGCTCGACAACGAGAATAAGACAAACAAAAGAAAGAAGTTGCAGATGGAAGACTCAAGCGGAAGAGAACGCGCTAAAACCACAAAATTGAATTAATTGATAATATCGCGTTACTCAGAGAATCGAGTCATCTCCTGCCGGTGTTGAACAAGGCTTCTAATGCCGAAGAAATTTACGCGCGCAACCTCTTTTACCAGCATCCTTTATCTAGCAGGTGCTGATGGCCGACTTGATAAACAGAGCAGAATAGCTTTTTACGTTGACCTCGTCGGAAATGTGAATCATTAATTTACAAGTCCAAGCCTATGACACCCTGTCTCAGCCGTAGGTGTACCTCTCAAAATTAAAAGCGTCCGTTTCGCATCCCTTGGCTACATGACTATAATTCTCTTTTTAGCTCAGGTAATGAAACGCTAAATTTCATACAAAGGTCAGGCACCAACGACCTCGCAATAAACGAGAGCTAAAAACAGCTCAAGGAGTGGTCCCAAGACGGGAATTATTTCATGGCTAAAGCATGTTGTTCCTGTTTACAAGCGTTGAATTATCCTAACATCGTCACTCAAAGACCTCGATTTTATCTGCGCAAAGCAGGTGTTGAAGTGACAAAGAGATTGTGCTGTTTGAAAAAATAATTTTTTTGACATAACTTTTCGATGCATGGCGCTAACTAAGCAACCGAAGTTTTACCGTTTCCTGTCATGGCGGTCTAGGATGATTTAAGTGTAACACAGGAAGAAAAAAGAGAAAAGCAAGAGGGTATACATAGACGGCGTTATTACGAGGTGATGTTGAAAATCATTTTGGTTCCACTTCTAAGATAAATATCACTATTTTGGGGCACTTTGAAGTGAGCTTGTTTTACTAGCCACACGGGAAGAAGTCTACCACGTGGTTTTTTCAGCAGCATCAGTACAATACCCAAGATAAGCCTGCTATTTTCCTGAGTTTTGTGCAAATTATTACCTTTTAATTTCAATAAATAAAACGTCATTATGTGTCAGATTTGGTTTTCGTTCATTTACTGGTATCTGCTTCACCATAAAATTACAAAGGTGGAATAGTCTACAAGGCATAATAAATATGAGAGACATATCAACATGATGGCGCGCATATCACCGTCAGTCTTCGTAACACATCATGTACATTGTTTTAATTTGGCTAAAGTAAAATTTAACGCCTTATAAGGACACTGAATGTGTAATGTGCGAAGTACACTCTCAAAGATGAACTTTTCCCGGTTATGGACATGAGAACAATAATTTTTCAAGTGATTTTTACGGTGGAATATTTTTTTTCGCACGAATTTCCTCGCTTGTATAAGCCAGAGAGTGTGATAGGACTTAAATTATCTCGTTCGATTCCTTATCATCTTCTCCACGTCAAACATGCCGGAGAAGTTTAGCTACACTAATCCTCTAAAAATTCACAGAAAAAGCTACGCTAAAGATGACTCATTAAATTTTACTACGTTAAACAGACAGTTCATAGAAGATGCTCTTGACTTGGCTTTATAAAAATATTGGACAAGCTGCCAAATTATAATTCAGACAAATGAACCATTCGAAATGCAAATCATTTTAGCCATTTCATGACTTAAGCCATGGTTGCAACTGCAATGCGACTCAACCGAATAAAGTAAGAGTTGCATTTTTCTTGTCAGGGGTGGATACCGAAGGAAAATTATTAATTCTCCAGACTTACATTCGAAAATAATCCTTTAATGGCATTACACATAGCATCACGGACTGCTATCATCAAGGTGAAATGACAATTCACCAGGAGATCACGTTTAGCTATATCGTTATGCTCGCAGGTGCTAAACTCGACCGAAATTGAATCCATTTCCTTTCAGGTGCAAATTATTTTGGACTGTCGAGCCAAAAAAATTAATGGGGTGAAGAACACCATCACGTATTCTGAAAACTAAGAAGTATCAGTCAATCTACACCACCGAGCTTGCAGATGCCAACCAAGCAGTTATTTAATGCTGACATATCCTAAGCCAAAAAAAAATAAATTCTAACTCAACGTGTACTAAAAAAAAATGCAAACTTATGTTAGAAACTCCGGTATATTAAGAAATTCTTACATTCTGACTTCATATAACGACTCCGCGGGTCGGATTTGTCTGAGATCCTATTAGTTCTACGAGCCGCCGAAGTAAATTGGGCAATAAGTCAATTGAAACTGAGGGAGCAGTTCCAATTTAATGTCACGGCAACAGATGATCAATCTTCATAAGCGACTCTAGCCCATTTTACAGCTTATGTGTTCACTACACCGCTTCTTTCTGTTTCGATACAACACTGCATCGAATAATCTAGAGCATCAGTGTCTCATTGTGGTCAGGATCCTTGGTTAAATGTTATTAAAGGTATCGTGGGGAAAGAGCTATTACATGTAAAACGTAACAGACGAAGCTTCTTCTGTGCGCATTTTTAGTATTTAGGGCCATAAATCGAAAAAGCGTTTCTTTAATCTATACCCTAGCCACTGCCCTTCGTAGTTTTCCGCAAAGATGTGCTTGAATAACTGCCAAACAAATTATCCATTCGACTATTTACAACTAAAGCTAACATACATCTTCTGAATGAAGTAACTAACTCAGTAACCACAATTAAGAATATCACAAAAATCACTGGAATTAGATTTTTAAACGACATCCAAAGGAAAATCGTTTGTCGATTTCCTATTAGAGACCTGAGAGCATAGTTAGTAGAGGGGACTTACTATTTTATCTCCCACATTGGTAAAACCATCGCTGAGTCAATATTCCGAAAAAGCTTTCTAAAATTACCCTAACATAACTCAGTTGCCTCGCATACCATGTTGATAATAAAGCGCTAAAAAGGCAGCTAAACGAATCTTCAGTCACTTCATTATCAGAGATC